GGGCTCCTTTCGCCCCGCGCGCCGCCGCCGCCTCGAGGAGGGCGGGAAGGGGGAGGGGGAAGGGGTCGAGAGGCGAGCGATAGCCGCGGCGCGGCGCTCACACACAGACTGCCCCCGCCCCCGCCCGCACGGATTCTAGTACAAAACGCTCTTAGGAATATTTTTACCCGTCGCCCCGTGTTGGGTCGTGCGAGAACTTCTGTTCCGCGTTGGTCGTGTAATGGTCGTAAAAGGCTGCGTGAATTTAATTTCCGGCTTTTATGTTCCTTTGGAAGTAATTTTGTTTTTTTCTTTAAGAGTTGCCATTTTTATTTAAAACAATGTATAAGTACCTACAGATTTATTAAAAAAGATATTAATAATAATATGTTGAAATATATTTTCTTATATAGAATTATCAGAAAGCATTTCATTATAAAAATGCATGCATTTGTTATAGTAGTATTTATTATATTTATTTACAGAAGTGATAACACATTAATTCTTTTAGCTACCACTCATTATTTTCTGATTTTTCAATGTAGAGTGCTATATCGAAAATATTATTTTTGTAATATCCTTGAAACGCGCTGTTGAAATGGTGTAGTATGTACTATTCCACTGTTTAATATAAACTACACATTGTATAAAAATTAAAGTTAAACACCAACTCCTTACAAGCGGAAGCATTTCCAATTGGAACACGAGATGTTTTAAAAATGACAATGAAATGAAAATGTTGATTTCCGAAACAGAAATCCGAGGCGTACAATTCAGTGTTAACCCGTTTGTAAATCACGTTGCCTGACACACAATAATTTTTTTTATAAATGTGACTCGACACCTCTTGGGAATTTTCTGCGCTGTGAAAAACAAAACAACAAACATTTGTAATCACTTCTCGCTCTCTCTCGCCTCATATTTTTTTTACTCCCTAGATGTGTTTACAAGCGTTTATTAGTCCTTTTTATAAGCATAAAGAACTGTGCCTACTACATCTGTCGACAAGCCAGTACCAACCACTTTGGATTTTGCATTTTCAGTGATGCGCGAAAGACGTTTCTTTGGTGTTCAGAAACTTCCGATGCACATTTGTATTTATTAAATGCAACGTGTTCATTGGTCATTCAATCTGCGAGCTGATTTTACAAGTGCCCCCTCCTATGACGTCGTCGACTTTGACTGCTGATTGGTACTTCCGTAACAAATTTCATGAAAAGAATTTGTTTTGTTCGATTTGGAGGTTCTCCGCATTACTGTCTCGTCGGATAATTCTGAAAATGGCAACGGGATGTCAAACTGTTTCGCGAATATGCTCCTGTAATTTTTTCCAATAGATAATAATTTTGAGGGCATTCTTATCAACATCTAATATCTTAAATTATATTGTTGAAACCCCTCACTGGTCTCGTAATGTTATATAAAGTTAGCAATGACTTTTACAGCAAGTTACTAAACTGGTGTTTTAATGATACAATAAGGTTCCAAATATCTGTATTCTTCATGCATGTTTCATATTCTGGACGAGAATTTCTAGTACACTTTTTCTAAAATTGTCTTCGACGGTGGAGCATATTTGCGGAAACATTTCCGGCCAGGATGGCTGGCGGATATCCAGGCGAGTGGACTACAAATAAATAGGAGATGGTATTAGAAAAGAGAGATTCCAGGAAGGATTAAACCCTGTAAACTAGAATTTTTCCGTAAGTGGGAATAGCATTGGAACAAGGTTTTCCCACACCACTTGATTCAAAGTCTGGCCAAGGCACAGAGGTGGGAGCAATTACCCGTTTACTTAATTAAGCGGTTAAGTTAACTTTGTCTGTTCGACGGGAAACGCACCTAATTGCTTAGTAGTGGGAACGTCAATAAGTGGCTGGTAGCTGGTTCCGACTGACCTTGCACATATCGAGGTCCATCACTGGATATGCAGTTGATATTGCGAGGCAGAGCAAGGATTTAATTATTTGTCTGCCGGCCAGGGTGAGCGGGAGTGACGGGTTGAGGGGAGACGCGAGGTGATGTGAGGGAAGGTGGCATGTATGGGAGGGGTGAGGTAAGGCAAGCAAAGTGACACGGTGTGAGATGAAGTGAGGGGGCGTAACGTGGGGTGGGGAGAGATGAGGTAAGGTGAGGGGGAGGGAGCGGAGGGGAGGGGAGGGGAGCGTTGCTACCTTGCGGGGGAGGGGGCGGGGGTGGGCGGGGGCGCCGCGAGGCGAAGTGAGGGCCTCGCACCTCGGCGCCGCGCGGAGCCTCAATTGCGCGTAATTGCTCCTCCTTCCCCTCCACTCGTGGCCCGCGCCGCGCCGCGCCGCGCCGCCCCGGCCACCGAACCTTTCATCTCGCCGAGGCCTTTTTGCTCTGGCTGCCCGTCCGCCCGGCCTTTCATCTCGCCCTGCTCTTTTTCGCTCTCCGTCTCGCTCCTCGCTCGCAGACGCTCTTTGTGGCGGGGCTCCTCGCGGCGCTCGGCCCGCGCCCAGCCGCCCGCGCTCCACTTCACCAGCCTCCCGCTGCACGCAGCGACGTCGCCAAGGAAACAGCCAGCCTCCACATTAAAACATCCGTCTTTTTATAACTGAATTAGAAAGCAATAAAGGCCACGTGCGGGGATTTAATTTGAAAGTGATATTGTGTGTTAATTATAATTGACATGACTGAGACAGAGCATTAACTGACAATACAAAGTAAAAAGGTCATCAGGACGATTTACAAAACTTGGATTATCTGATTTGATAATTCAAAAATAATATAGGAATCTTCATTGACCAAAACTCCATTTTATTTGTATTTCACCCTTCGTCGCATTGGTCTGAAGAATATTGAATTTGTGGATATCTCAAAATTATTATAAGTAATTATTATTATATTCATTAAAACAATATCGACCCCGTAAATTCATCGAACAAAAACATCGATGTTTAAAACATCGACATCGACGTGAAACCCCTAGTGCGAGACAGAGAAATGGAGTTTTGGCCAAGAATGAGACGATACTGAAGAGGATACGAGGAGTCCGAAGAAGAAAAGACCTAGAAATGACATCAATTAATACTGGAATATAAGACCGCTTTGAATTAATACTAGAGTACAGAAATGCAAGACTATAAGCTATGATGGGCCGAGCATGTAGAGAAGAACAGTGATAACAGACTTTCAAAGGCACCTTTGTATATTGTTCCAAGATGGAGAAGGGGCGTACGAGGACCAAGAAAAAGAAGGAAAGAAACTGTGAGAACGGAACAAGCAATAGACTAAGACGCGAAGAAGAAAAAGATGATGGTGATGATGATGAAAAAGGGGAAGAAAAGGTGTAATGTATTTTGAGAATTTTTCAATTTATTAACGATTATCGTCTTTTCGAATCAAATCCTATTATCCTCCTTTTTCCCAAAAACTGGCAATAAAAATGCAGAGTTGCTCTCACGCGAGGATCACAAAACGAAATAATTTTTCAGAAATTCAAATAGATATTTTTACAATGTATCTATTGGCAATTATTTACAGTTTTCTACATGTTGACGGCGATAAAAAAAAAAAAGCAAATAACCACAGGCGTGCGCTGAGTAAGAGAAGAGACAGACAACTACATTTCTGGACCCCCTTTTCCATTAAACTTTTTTTTTTTTAATTTCATCGAGGGATAGCGCAACAACGTATGCATACGTACTCTTCTGAAATCGCGTTTTCTTCCTACATGCCTCTACCCCGTTCTAGTTTGGAGAATTCTGTTTCAAGCAAGAGGTAGATGTGCTATTTATTGTCTATGCGTCATGTTATTTACTCAGAGAATAATAATAACTTCTTAACCAACGGCAAAAGCTTTTTTTCAAACGGAAGTTGGAAAGGAATAAAGTTGATCT